TTAGCAGCTCTGTGGTTTTAATTTTCTGCATGCTGCAAGGTTGTCTGGCGAAAATTGTGCAAGTATGACCAAAATTGCCATGGCTACTTAGAAACTTAGAGCCAAAAGTTGGGCTTAATCCACGTCCATGTTTACTGGTAAAGGTTAGTTATACAATCATCAAAACTATATCTTTTCTATTGCAACTCTACGTAGAAGACCTTACAGAAACTTATAGTAAAAATATCTATTGATGAAAACTATCAATGAAAGGACATTGCAGAGGTTCACCGACTCTCAAATCAGCATCCACCATCAACTTTACAGGAATGCTAAGACTATCGAGATCTGTTTTACCATTGTACTATCTAAAACATTGTTTTGGTAAGTAATTAAATTCGATAAACACAATACACTAACTTGAAGAATCTTACCTGTCTGTCTGTCTCTCTCTCTCTCTCTCTCTCTCTCTCTCTCTCTCTCTCTCATTAATTTGTTAAAATAAAATACTTATCTTCAATCTGGCAAAGCACCCCAAAAAATGCCACTATTGCATTATTTGGGACGTTTGTTACAGCCATATTCTTCAAATGTACTAGGGAGAGAGAAACATGCAGGCATCAACAAAATCAATAATTGTCTCAACATGTGAGATAGACGAAAACTGAAGAAGAAAGAATCAGGGACGATATGACTGGATGGAAATAACTTTAATGAGCAATTATGCAATTAAAATGAAAAGAAGGAATACAGAAAATTTGAATATGTATGAAGGAAAAAAAATTACACAAGTTTGCAATAAATTAAAGAAAAAACTGAGCGTGTCATTAGTCATGTTAACGACCTTATTCATGGTCTCATTGCGAAAATTTCTGCAGAGCACTTTACTTACTTTTTTAGAGTTTTGATTATTGAATTCGACTATTTTAATTTATTTGTTTATCCAGCCCACTCGTTGCCTCGGCCATTGAGCCGAAACAAAGATTGTCCACGTTCATTGCAACCAGTGCAAATTTTCTTTGAAGATTAGAACAAAAAAAACAATCGTATCTAACTTTTCTGATTTGTGCAATCGCTGTCGGAATTTGGTGAGAGTCGGGTATCCAGACTTTTCAAATCATCGCAGATGGTCGTGTGCCATCATGAACTTCCGTAAGTTTAACAATACCGAAAAGAAAGCACATGTGCGGACGTGCTCACGTACAAAACCACCCCGAGCAACAGGTGCGATCGACGAACACCCGTCTTCTGTTTCCTGTTAAACAGTTTAACTTTAACTTCTTAAAAGAAATTTTCATAATAAATCCAATTTTAATTGATTTTACTGTTCTAGAGATTTTATCTAATTGTTCTGCGTGGTGCTTGTAAACTCCTAATCAATTTAACTTATTATTTATTTTATGCAGCAATGCTGCTGTCAAACTTTATTTATGTTTACTTAATGAAAAACCTATTTAAAATTTAAGATCCTAATGACAAGAAGTGCCGAATACTTAGCATTATGAAACACGCCGAAACAGTATATTGTTGTGATCAGTCTAAAATAAAGTATAAACTTAGTTAACTTTAAAATTTTGTTATTTCAATTGAAAAATATAATATCAACAAAAATGATAATATTATTAGGAAAGTTAAAGACGTAAAAATCTTTAAGTGCTTATTAATTATTTTTCTTTATGTTTAAGCTTTTACGCAATATTCGTACACTTGACAGTAGGTGTTTGGTACTTAACTCCATTATTTATTTTTCAAAAAATATATATTTACAAATAAAATCTTATTTAACGAAAATGCTATATGAAATTATAATCCGAATAAAAAGAAGTGCCGAAATTTTAGCACTATGAAACATTTCAAAGCGTGTAGACTGTTGCGATCAGTCTAAAATAACGGAACGCATAGTAACTCCATAATTTTTGGGAAAAAAAAAACAATATAAATAAAAGGATAGTGCTATTAACTAAATTAAAGATTTATTGAACACTGAAATTAACAAAAACACCTCATAAGTTTTATTTTATAGCTCCAGTTTTAATTAATTTACGAAGGTGATGTTTGTATCCATTCTTGAATCTTGATAGTAAGTCATAAAATGATTATTAAGTATTTTACTTAATTTTTTGGCCTTTACGTAATGATTGACATTGTTTGACCGTAGGTATTTGATACATAAATGATTATTTAAAAAAGTATTTACTAATAAAATCTTATTTAAAAAAGAAAAAAAAGAAAAGAGTTTTTAGCATAATGAAACATTTCGAGAAATTCAAAACTCCTATTTTAAAGTTTATGAGCGACTTAAATAAAACATGAAAACCGGAAATTTTACAGCTTAGAATTTATATGCGAATCCATTAAAAAAAAGTTGTTTTAAGATAAATTCTTCATGTGGGTTTATTGTTTTATTTTTTTATGTGTGTTATCTTGGAATTTTCATGGATAAACGACTGACTTTGAATCGACATACGCAAGACGGAAAAGACATGAATCAAGCCGACGTTATAAATTATTAAAAAGACTGCTTGACTCACGATCAAAATTAGACATTGAAAGACAACTTTTAATTTACAAGACCCGATGATAAGACCTCTCTGGGCGTACGGTTGTGAAGTTTGAGGCTCAACCAAAGATACCAAAAGGATGTATGTACAAAACAAATTTGTGATTAGAACCAGTTAACACTTCCAAACTTAACCGAAAATTCTCCAAGATGATTGAGCCGAAAGTGGTGATCAGTTTAAAATAAAGTACAAACTTGGACATTTTTGAAAAAAATAAAAACAATAAAATGCTCATTAAATATACTTCTTCTTTTTCGGCTTTTACATAATGGTTGACAGTAGGTGTTAGGTACTTAACACTACTTTTGTTTTTTAAATATATTACATAAAAACCATAAAATACAACAGGTCAATTTCAGGAATAAGAAAACTTTCAAAACCCTCATTTTGGAAAATTTATGACCCGCGTAAAATAAAACTTGAAAGACTGAAATTTTACAACTTCCAGTTGAAATGCAAATTGGAAAAAAAGTTGTTATACGACATATACCACATGTAGGTTTGTTTTTATTTTACACTTTTATGCTGTTTTTAAATCTTTTTTTTTTCTTTTAAGATTATACTTGAATGGGCCATCCCTTTAACTAACTTCGAGATTTTAAGACTTCCTATGAACAATTACAATTTTCTCTTTTAGCTTTTTATGAGCGGCATCAAATTAAGTACTGCTGTAGTATACATTTTTATGATTATTATTTATAAGTTAAGAAATGTTTATGAAGACTTACAATTAATTACGGTTTTTAATTGAGATAAATAATTAAATAAAATTAAATAAATAATTGTAATATATTATTGGTCAAGCGGACCATGAAATTAGTGAATTTAAGAAGACTGTTGTGAACAGATTAAAATAAGATACAAAAATAAGTATTTTTGAAAAAAAATTAAACAAAATGCTTATTAAATTTATTGCTACTTATTTTTTGTTTTTTAGGAAGTGCTTGACATTATTTGACAATAGGTGTCAGATACATAACACCATTTTTTTGTTTTTTAAATATATAATACAATAATAANTTAAATACCATAAAATACAAATAATATGTAAATTTCCGGAGTTTTCAAAACCTCATTTTTGAAATTTGACAACTTCCAATTGATAAAAAATTATATTAACAATAATGTGCTTATTAAATGTATTGATTATTTTTTGGTTTTTACGTACATTATTTGTCAGTAGGTGTTAGGTTTAAACACCATTATTATTTTTAAGTATATATTTACAAATAATATCTAGATGCCTATTTCAATGTAGAAAAAAAAAAAACCCACTTTGGAAAGTTTATGATCCACGTAAAATAAAACGTTAAAAGGCTGAAATTTTTAAAACTTCGAAATATATGCAAATCACTAAAAAAAGGTTGTTTTAAGACAAATTCCACATGTGGGTTTGTGCTTTAATTTTACATTTTTGTTATTTTTTAGGCAGAATGCATTTTTTTTTTGCATTTGTTTGGACGCCTCTTTCACAAACTTCGAGATTTTAATGCTTTGTGTGAACTTTTTTTTTTTTTTTAATGTGGTATTAAGTTCACAACTGCTATAGTACACATTTTTTATGATTATTATTTATAAGTTAGGAAATGTGGTATGTAGACTGTTGTGAACAGGTTAAAATAAAGTACAGACCTAAGTATTTTTGAAAAATAACTATACTAAACAGTGAAGTTCTTATTAAATGTATTGTTATTTTTTGGTTTTTACGTAGTGCTTGACATTTAACAGTACATAACATCATTAATTTTTTTTAAATATATATTTATAAATAATATCTCGATTTCGATGTAGAAAAAATTCAAAACCCCATTTTGGAAAGTTTATGATCCACGTAAAATAAAACGTTAAAAGGCTGAAATTTTACAACTTCGAACTGATATGCTAATCACTAAAAAAATAGGTTGTTTTAAGACAAATTCCACATATGGGTTTGTCCTTTTATTTTATAGTTTTATGTTGTTTTTTAGGAGGAATGCATTATTTTTTTGCATTTGTTTGGACGCATCTCTTTCACAAACTTCGAGATTTTAATGCTTTGTGTGAACGAAAGCTCTACGGTTTTTTTTTGTTTTATGTGTGGTATTAAGTTCAATTCTGATATAGAAATACGGATTTTAAACAAATACCGATTTTTGTAAATTTTTATTATTCATTTGAATACAGAAATCGGTGTTTTTTCTTTTTTATGGTGCAAAAGTTTAAAATAGCAAAAAGTTGGATGTTTTGTGAAATTTTAAGTTAGGATGTTAAGTTTTTGTGGTATTATAAGACTTCGGACTTTTGAGAGCACTTGTTGCTTCAGCCATCGGGTACAAGAATGAACAAAATTTTATTTGAACAAATAAATTATTCGGGATTTTGTTGTATTAAGAAATTGAAAAAGCAAGAGAAAAAAAGGCACGCCCACAAAGCTTAACGGCTTTGTTAAAAAGAAAAGAAAAAGTAAAGAAACTGACATACCTCTTCTTCAGGTTGTCCATAAACCTGGGCATGGTTATTTCGTCGAGAAGGACGAAATCCCTGATGCCGACCTCCTCCTGACCGGCCATTTAGGAGCCGTTCTTCCAAAAACTATCCGTTCTAAAGAATGTGAGACCGTGAAAGGAAGGACAGTAGACGGTCGTCACTGTGTCGAGCCCTACACCAGAAGCGCAACTGAGAGGTGAACAGGTCGGCCTCGGCCGTCTCACCAGAACGTGAGTCGGCTCCCCGCCGGGGTTCGCTCGCCGAGAGCGCGCCCTGCAACTCGTCGGCATCCAACGGGCCCGCGCGAAGTGCTATTCTCCAGGCTGACCGCAGGTTCTCCTCTCTAACGCAACAAATTAAATTGATATCCGAATTTTTTCTAGAGCCTTTGACCGGTTGAAACGAAAATTTGAACGTGAATTTTGCACACCCCGAGTGGGTAAATTTTGGCCGGATTTAAACCGTCTGTTATCCCACGGGTTGTGAGCTCCTCTCTAATACTTTCCCACGTTTTACACAAAATTTTCCCTTTTTTCCCCTCTAAAGAAATTTTCAAATATTTAATACACTCCTAGACCAAGGTTCACTGTGAACCAATAACTAACTATAACTTCTTACTTTTTATATAAATAAAAACTATATGTGAGTATTTATTCATTAGAATAAACAGATCATACATAGTTCAGATATATGTATAGATTAATAGATTAACACAGCCACATCCTTTTTTTTATATGTACAAAATACAGGAAAGTAACAGTTTACAAAGAAAATTAAAATTTACAATGAAATAATATAATAGAAAATATACAACGAATAGAAAAGTAAATTTATAAAACTTATAAGAAATAATTATTGAACTAATAACATAATAATACAAAATAAAATGTAATATATGTATGTAATATATAAATAAGTGTATATGTATATGTATGTAATGTATAAATAAATAATAAATGATTATTATTTAATTATTAAATAAATTGTTAATAATATATGAAATTAACAATCAAATTATTTAGAAATGATGAATGATGGAGTGAGTGCGGTGTTCAATCCTTTTTAAAAAAAGATAGTTCCTATTCACAGTAAGTTGTTTTCCAACTTTTTTTTCTTTTTTTGTTTTTCAACGTCCGGATTTCGAGCCCTTAGCTCATCATCAGGTTGAAGGATTTCTACAACCACCTCTCTCGACAGGTTGGAAAACAACTTACTGTGAGTAGGAACTATTATTTTTTTAAAGGATCAAATTGTTTTGACAATAGTAACAGTTATAATAATTAATAAAAAATAAAAGTCACATCAGTCAATTCGTAATAGGCTTTTAATAAGCAACAACGTTCCAACTTGTGCTTGATGTATTTGAAGTGGAGACCATATCATTCTGACAGTAAAACATATTTTGGTCGAATGTCACACTTTGCAACCCTTTAGGCAAATGTTCAACCTTTCGGGTGATTCAAAGGCCCCAGTGTTTGTTTCAGAGAGCACTTTTCAGCTTTCTTAAATTTATTGGAATTTATAATGAGATTTAGGCCTTTTCTCAAATTTTTATACCTTTGAATGTTTGTGACAGTGTTTGATTGAGTTCTGCATGGAAGATTATTTTTTTCAGGGACTTTTGAGGCTGCCAGAGTGGAAAAATATAATAAAAGAAAAATACAAATTGTGTGGTAATAAACTACAAAGCGAGTATAAAGAAATAGAAGTGTTATTGTGTTTTTGTTTTATTATTGTTGTTAAGTAGCATTAGTGTTTTTATAATATTTGAATGGGAAAATAAAAGGAGAACGATGAGCCTATACTCATGCTGAGACTTTTTATTAGTCCGACTCCATTATTATTATTGGCCATACAAGCCTATGGAAAATGTTTAAATTATGAAACAAAAATTCGAAATTCTAATTAAAGAATAGGAATAAATTGTATAATTAAAAATGTTTTTTTTTTTGCATTGCATTTCACCTTCCAAATTAAGTATTTTAAAGGATATATTAAAAGTTTTGGATGGAAATAGGATAGATTAGATTATGTGTGAATGTTTGGAGTCTTATAGCACTCTGAAGAGATACAGCAAGCTTAAGACAGAAGTTGTAAATGTATAAGTTAGGATGTAAAATGATCTTAGCCATTAAGTGCCTTTAAAAATTAATAATAATAATAATAAAAAATAAACTAGTATATGCACTGCTGAGGCGACTACAATAAAAAAATATTTATATATTAATATTTAATTGCAATGTTATATTATACATTGTAATATGTGTGTTTCTCAGTTTTACAGCCTTTACAATTGATTATTCTGCTGAAAGCGATAAACCAATTAAACTACAAAGAAATCTACTTAAAACAATCTATTGTAACTGAACTTTTTTTTTAATTACATTTATTTGGTATTTACAACTACAAGTGATGTATTAAGTAAATATGTTCGTATATGTTGAATTATCATTTGAGGCTCTTGTAGGAGAAGTTGATTCTTTTGTGAAACATATAAGTTATAGCATACTTTCTTACATTGCTTAAATAGGAAATAATGGAAATAATACATGAAAAAATGGGTTTATTGTCCTTCTGAAATATATGTATAATTTATTAATTACGATATTTTTTATTGGGATTTTATGCCTTTTCTCCTTTGTAGGTTCAGTTCCTTTATAGGTGTATTTTTACAAAATAAAAATGTGTGTGTTCGAACATTTTTAAGGACCATAAGTTACCATAAATACTTATTTGCAATGTTATATACATGTTAATATATTGAATGAAGTAGAAAAAAAAACTGCTGAAAGTGATAAACTGATTAAACTGTAAAGAAATATACTTTAATAAATCTTTCTAAATTAAAACCAAATAGTTTATAATTGAACAAGGTTCTTCCAATCATTCTTCTATTGAAACTTATAAATTTCAGGAAACTTTCTTACAACCATTAAATAAAAAATACATAAATGAAAATTTTGGTTTATCTTACAGAAAAGTGTATTTTTTCTTATTCTATTTAACAAAAAGTTTTGATGTTTGTTATCAAAAATATATTTTTTTTAGAGTTTCATAAATAAAATTCGTGTATAGTTGGATTAAATCATTTATAAAACATTAGTCTTCATTGATCTTTTAACATGAAATATACAATTTATTGATTACTGCATTTTTTATTGGGATTTTATGCCCTTTTGATTATTATTATTATTTTTTTTTTTAATAAAAAGTTTCTGCAATAAAATACCTCTATAGTTGGATTTATTCCAAATGCATCAGTCTTTATTGAATCTTTCAATCGCGAAATTTGATTTATTGATTATTACGGTTTTATTGGGATTTTATTGGCTTTTTTTTTAATTTTGTTGGAAGTGGTCTGGAACGACCTCTGGAACAAAACAAATCCCGAGGATCCGAGGTATATTTTCATCTCGACCGTTGGTCAAACTGCGGGCCGTCGACCCAACTCTGTCCAATGACAGATGTTCCCGTTCAACCCTGAAGCACAACTACCGGCGATAAACGTGATCGGTTCACGGATCTTTTGGGGATTTTGGGCAAGGGGCCGATTTTCTTGAGGATTCGATTCTGGTGCCTCGTCCAGGACACGGCCCTAATGTCGGCCACCCACGTGCAAAGGAACAACGCAGGTGAATTCACATTTTCGATTTATACTGGAGCGTGTTTTCTAAATTATCCTCTCTATTTATATTTATTAACCGTATCCCGGTCTTATCACTGTTTTATGAGTGATGTAAACAGACATCATCGCCTAAGAAAAACGTAAATAAAACCAGGAAGAACATTTCAGAAATACCAAAACCTTGGCACCCTTGTTTACATGCTTGTAAAAGGCGCTAACATTTCCAGTTCGAACTCGCCTGGAGAGTACAAAAAATAAAATAATCCTTAAATACATTATAAAAAAATTATTAAATAATACTATAAATCTTGCTGTAAAGTAGTTTTTTGATAGAAAATATTTCCATTTATAAAATTGATGATTTTTTATTCTAATTTCTTCTTATGTTCTTACCAGAATGTTAGCAGACGTTCACCACAATGTATGACCCTGATCTTGCTTCTGCTGAGGAAGCAGTTCAACAGACTATACGTTATTCAAAATAATAATGCTTGTTAATATTATTTACTATTATATTTATAATAGATAATGTAATACATTAAAAAATCATTTTAGGCCTATTTATTTTTGTATCCAGAATGAATGCCATATTTAGTATACTATTAGATATATGTACATTATACTTTGTGCATAGTACTTCATTTGTTTTAATGTACAATTTTAATGCAATGCAGAGTGCTAGTTTGGCTTTTTAATGTAATGTTTCGTTTCTCAAATTCTTCTCTTCAGTTCTCTTCGCTCTGTCCACAGTAAAAAATTGTCCATACGATCCCCTTAGGGATGGAATTGCAAAAAATCCTTCCTTAGCGGCTATCCCATGTCATTATGGGAATGCACTGTCAAAATTTCAGCCCTTTAGATCCAGCGGTTTGGACTGTATGCCTGTCAGTTGGTCATAACTGTTTTTTAGATATATAATAACAAATAAATAATAATAAAATGTAATGTTTTTGCCATGTTCATGCTACTTGGTACTACCAAAGTAAACCGAGTGTAGGATATAGGGAAGTTTATGGGGTTTATGACATGACAGTAGTCTTGCAATGTAAAACTGAGTTGACCAAGGCCCTGCCTGTACAGGTTTTCAAACATACACTAAATCGTTAACACTTTCACCACCATCGTGTATCTTTCAAGACCCAAATAATTTTTTCCTTTTCACTTGTTCTCTATTTTTTTATTATTATTATTATTTTTATCAACCCTCCAATGTAATTCCTCTATTAGGTCTTTTCTGAACGTAAAGAAATTTTATTTGTAAATTTTTCAACAAGAATATAATTGGTATTGTTCATTTTGTAGATAAATGTTTGCGTAAGTCTGTTTAGATCTGATTGCAGTCCACATCACAACTTTCTTCCAGTACAAATTTTTGTTGTTGATATAAGTCAATCAAGATAAAGTGACAATTGTTAATATAAGTCACTTTACTCACTCTGGTACAAAAAACGCTTAGAGTTAGACCTTCTATCATACCTTAATCCCTACTCTTTGTATATTGCCCTTGTTTTTCCGTTTACCTTAATGCTCTCACTTTTCAGTTTATATTCAGTTTCCATGTGAAAGCGAGCAAAATGGATGTTAACTCTGTTTTTATTTGCGCGGATGATATTCTGAAAGAGTTTTAGAGGCAAAAAGAAGAACTAAACGTTTTTCTTGATGGTTGCTGTTTTCTTTGCTCTGGTAGCGACAATAAATACTTTACCAGGTGATAAATGCAAGCAGTTTGTATGTGGTAAATATTTAGTTGCAAAAAATAAAATTAAAGCATACACATAATAATTGTTGTTTGTAAGACACTTATGCACTTAATAAATATACATAAAAAAATTATTATTATAGTTTTTCAGTAAAAAATGAATAAATAAAACTTGGGTGTAAAAAGACTCGCCATGCCCATGTTTTTTTTCTACACAGCAGTGTGTGTTTTTTGTCATTCTCATGTTACATTGCCCTAATAAAAATCAATACACAAGTTTGTCATGATTGATGTTCTATCTGAATGTAAATCTAACAAACTCTAATCCTGATCTTAAAGGAGCCTATGCTTTTTGCTAATTTTCCCCACTCCAAATAAAAATCAAATTATATATCTTATTTAATAAAGTGAGTTTATATTAAAAAGTTAACTTTAACTCATTTTTGTTGTATCTAGAGGCAACAAGTTACACCCACCAAGCACTCTTTTGAATTTATGTAGAATAAGTGTATGTACATAATATAAGTTGGACTTACTTTATAAACTAGTTCAGAAAAAAAGTTCTTTCACCGTGTGTTTCTGGTGTGCACATGTTACATACCAAAGGAAATGAGGTGTAGTGTATTTTGGGATAATCTTGTCTCAACATTTAATACGCTAGTCAAATTCATGCTACACCGTATTGGATATTATAAAAAATGTAATTCTTTGGTTGAGTTACATGTCCCTCAAAAATTATTTTAGGAGCAGGGGGCAGTATTTTCTTGTAGTTCTTTTACTCCTGGTGTCATGTTGATAGATCTTTAAAAAAGTGTATAATTTATACATATTTTATTCTAAACAACCCTACTAGCTAAGCCATAGAAAAAGTTATTATATTAACATATTTCCATGGGCTTGTATATGTTGTTTTCACATATTATAATATTTAATATTGTGTACTGTCTGTAGCCCTATAATAATCCTGTAAAGGTTCGCCTATTTTTGATTTTGAGTATTCAAAAATGGTTTTGCGGATTCTTACAATAGAAAATGACATAAATGCATGCACTTCAGCTTGAAAAATTGTTGGGATTAGTCCATGGGGTTTTGCTAGGGTATAGCTTGGCCCTTTTCATCTGTGCCATTTTTTTATGTCCCAATATGAGAAGTTCCCCTCCTCTATCAGTGGTCATGGAAGTATTTTATCCTCTACCTCCTGCAGCCTGGTTCAATTCCTCTGCCCTATGAAAGCATTAAACTCAAAATATTTGGTTCAATTTTTTTTCCCAATTTGTTATAACCAAGGCATTATCATAGTATTAAGTGTTGTTGGTTCAGCACTGAGAATTTGCTCAAACATCATCCTGAACTTAACAATGTGCTAATGACAAAAGATGATCTGCAAGTATAATGACTAGTTAATAGTGTTCATCTATGTGAAACCCTCCCCGTAACTACAAAAAAGATGAAAAATGTATAGATAGGCATCAGTTTTGATAGGGTTGGTCGCTTTATAGATGACTGACAAAATCTCTTCCCAAACATTTCTACTCACTAATGTGGAAGACAAGGCAAATAAATTTGTTAAATTGTTCGAAAACAGAAAACAAAGCTACGAATATTTGCAAATTAATCTTGTTTGTTATATTCAAACAAGCTGGAAAAACCTTTGGGCTTTTAAATTTTCTAATATTATATTTAATATTGTGAACAAAATCTGAAGCCCTATAATAATATATTAAAGAGTTATTCACCCATTTTTGATTTTGTATATTCAAAAGTGGTTTTGCGGATTCTTACAAATGATAGTGATATAAAATAATGGATATAATTAAATACTAAACTTATGTAATATTAGCTTTTTCTTTTTCTTTGAAGGGTCTCGTTCAACAGCCCTACCAGGTCCGGGCTACACTGCGACGGCGAACACAGGTATAATCACTAATAGAACCATTTGATTTGGGTTCATTTTATTCTGAATTCTTCAAATACAAGGTTCATACATACCTGCATCGCAAAGACCGGATGGGACATGGAGAAAGCCAAGGCGGGTGAAGGAGGGCTACATTCCTCAGGAGGAAGTACCAATTTATCAAAGTAGGGGGAAAATATGGGCTGAATCTCGGCCAAAATACCCGGTGGGTATGAGTGAAACGATGATCGCTAAATTAGAAGCTGCTCAAAATCAAGGTTTGTGTTTATGCAATTTACAACATTTTAGAGCTTACAATAAATTTCTAATATTAGTTTTACAAAACTTTTATTGCTTTACATAAACTTAATAATTTAATTTGTACATTATAAGCAGTTCGTTTTTAACATTTTAAACTTTACTTTTGCTACTTCTCACTTAAAAACATGAACTTAAGTTGCAGAATTTTTTATATTTTTATTTAGCAATTTTATAGTTAATCTATTAGATAAACATCTCAAAACAAAAATTCAAATTTATAATTGATATCAATAAAATCTTAAATCCAGTAAAATAGTTAATAGTTTCTCTATTAATTTCTTTTTTCAGTTAACTGTTTCTGATGATGACATTAACAGATATTTAATAAACTTGTGTTAAGTTACTTAACTATGGCAATAAGCCAAATTAGTAATTTAGTGGTGCTTTTTAATTTAGCAGTGTACCCTTATCAATGTATAATTAATTAAAATCTTTATTTACAATATCATAGTACAATAATTATACAATGCTTGACATAATATTGTTCTAACAATCAAGACAAATGGATGATCTAAAAGATAGTCAACATACATTGTTACATTCATACAAGAAAAAACCTGGACACTTGTATTTACTTGTTTATTTTCTGTAATAACGAGGTATAAAGATTAATAGTTGACTTAAAATGTAAACACAACATTAATAACTTGTTTTTTACCTTTATAGAGTGTTACAAAGCCTTTTGCTTATACAGCTTATACCTTATAGATTTTAAAAAAAGTTGTTTTCTTGGTGTAGCAACAAATTGGAGTAAAGAATTAATTATTAATTTTTTTCTTAAAAGCATGGTTTTAAGTCGAGAAGATTTCATCCAGGCCGATGTAGCGTCCATTACATAGCCCAAATCCTCGGTGTGCTGTGCTCTGCCATCCACAATGGTCTGCAGTGGTTCAGAGCCATCAGAAGTCTTTATCAAAGAGAAGGAAGTGGTCGACAGCGATTTACAACAGCTAGAGACAATCCTTCTACTGCTTATTTCCTTTAATAGGCAGTCATCTCCAACTGGTCCATAATGTAAAGATGAGCTCTATCAGTCATCAGGTTTCATCTGCCTTGACTCTATACATCCCGGATGAGGTTTTGTACTACTGGAGAGGCATTGAGTAGGAAGGTGACTATTCGCAAATTACCATCTCACTTGGACACTTGAACCAAGGGGGGGGGGTTAATGTGCCGGTACGGTTTGTGGCAATCAGATATCAAACTGATTATTATACAGACATCCATTTTGAAATTGGACTGCACTAGCTTACATTAAGGAAGTTCTTCTGTAAGCTGCAGTCGCTCCATTGATTGGGGATAACTTCGTGTTAATACAATATATTGCTTGGCAATCAATCCTACCACAGCATTGAACAGTCTCAAACTGCTCTTGTTGAAGAATGGGATTCTGTTTCACAAGATGAAATCCGATTGCTTATTTGCTCAATGCCTAGGAGACTTAAGGCCAGAGGAAGAATGCACATTATTAGGAGCAAAACTAGGTAATAAATTGTTAGTTAAATTTTAATCTTCCACTAAATGATTTTCCAGTGTTTCAGTGAATTTTCTTTCAAACCATCATAGTTAAATAATTTTTATTAAAACTCATAAATTTCTGATCTCGTTTAATTTGGTTTGCATTAAAATAAGTATGTTTTAATTAATATACAATATCAAAATATGTATAGCTTGAAATAAACAACAAAATATGAATGTCCAGTTATTTTGTCTTTGAGTGTTTCTACTTATATACTTAACATCTATTCAAAAGATATACCTGTGTGACCTTCAAAAATTTATTCGGAATTAAATTGTATATACTCGGACCATTGACTGATATAGAAACTCGTAATTTATTTTGTTGTGTATTTATTTTTCGACTTAGTAATCCTTTTGTTCATTTACTCTTGTTTTACCTAGGAGTATTTTTGCCTTCGACACAGCGGGCTGATGGAACATGGCGAAAAGAAAGATCCATTCGCCCCGGTTATGAACTTTGGAAACCGAGTATTTTCCTGGGTCTTGACAACAATTTAAAAAAATTACATATTAGTTTTTAAACGATGCGTTGCTCCTGTTATAGGTGTTAAAAAGAAGAAAAAGAAGAAGGCGGCCGGCACAAATTCTAACGATGATTCTTCTTCGGACAAGCCTTCAACTCCTCTGAGCAAGGAGGTGACAGACTTGACAAAGAAATTCAAAGACACTACTATCGATATAGGGAAAACGAGTCAGCCCAATCCTGCCAACAGGTTGAGAAATCTCAGGAAAAAGTTGAAAGAGATCGAGGCTCTCGAATTGCAAATTCAAAATAAAGAATTGAAAAATCCGGACAAGGACCAATTGGAAAAAATTAAAAAGAAAAATGATTATGAAGAAGAATTGTTACAGTTAATGGAAGACTTAAAAACCACTTGAAATCTTTTTTTATGAGTGGGATTCTTTCTATGTGAAGTTGGATATTTATTATATATAATTGAACATATAATTTATATTTTTTTCAGGCCGTTATCAATGTGTACTATATTAAAGTGTTTTATCACTATTAATTTAATTATTTTACTTCTCCTAATCCAGTCTTCCATATTCCCAATTGCAATTAAATTATTGACAATATTACATCTGTAATTATTAAGAATAAGAATAATGTAATCTTAATTGACTGGTTACAAAATAAAATTAACATGGAATTTTTCTAAGATTGATTTGATCAAATTGCAAAAAAAAGTAAATAAACATTTAAATAAAAAACCGAGCCTTGGCATAGCCTGTTGGGAAGATAATAAAATAAATTTAATTGGCAATGACTCGACTATTTGAATTATAAAACATGATATACAATTCATTGGGCAAAACACAAGTCACCTATATTTTTAACACGATTGGGTTCTCAAATTATTTAAAATTAAAAACATATAGTGCAATTTAACCATATTTTTATAAAAAGAAGAATACATATAATTTAACAACATTACATTACCATAAAAGAAACACAAATTTAATGGCCCAATTGATTTACTTAGAGAATACAGTTTCTTAACCATAGTATTACAAAGGGATTATTTAAATTTTTAACTTTATGTAAAACATAAAAGCTTAATAATAATAATAATAATGATGACAAATTTATATGTGATTACTTATGTATTGGTATATTCATGCTGAGATTAATTAATTATTGTTAATTAGTCATTACTTAGTGATGTATTTTATGTTAAGAAGTCTTAATACAAGGGTATTGTAAAGTCTCACTTTACTAATTAAAATTACATTTTTTGACTTATTTTTTTACAGAATATTTAGAAAATTGAACTGGAGATTATAGAAATTCACTTTCCAATAATTATAATCCAACACACCATACCTTAACAGAATTACAATTACAATTTAATTTCCTTCAAGTTAATTTTAATTGACAATTTTGCTATTTTTATGTTCAAGTGTCGTGGTGTTTATCTTTAGTCGAAAAATTAATTTTTATTGATTACTGATTTATATAAGCTCAAATCCACAGGTTGTGGACATGTGTATGTCTTACCCTATCACATCTCGCAGTTCACCGGCAATTCCAGCTTTTGCATAATTTACAATAAATTACTGGCAGGCCTCAAGAATCACCCACCCCAATGGTATTGGCAGTCTGGGATCAGAACTAGGTCTTATCCGCCCAGCCACTGATTTTGGGTTCCAAGTTCTATCAACAGCTAGATCATTCCAACACCAAACTTAATTAGTCAATCCAAATCCATTCGTACACACTCAAATACATTCTTTCCTATTTATATATCATTCACTCAGGGTGGTGGAGTACTTGATATTCCTCCATCACACTCTACACATATTTTATAACTAATTTAATTGAAGATCGATGGGGTGCTCAATGTTCCATCATCCAGCCCTCACACACTACACATTCACGCTAATAAATTCATTCATTCTCAATAAATACAAAGAAACATGGAATGAGATATCTGTAAAGTACCATATACAGTAAAATAATCCTGTTTCCTCTAAATATGGAAACAGGGGACCCCTCAGATACTCTTAATTATTTAAAATTTTTGGTTAATTATCACTAGAGCTTGAAGACATATTAAGTTGCATGGGAAGAAGTAATATAACAATTCATGATGATACACTAAAACCAGAGCACGCATTTTTTCTGTTGAATTTTAAGCACTTTCTAAATATGTAAAATACATCAAGTTTTTCTTGGCATTTGTCCTACATTTTAAAATTCAAATCTTGTTTTTTGCACAATATGCATGATATGGAAATATTTAATAGCTTGTCGAAGTGATTACGCTATTAAATTAAATTTATCCCATTAACTTGCCCTTTAAAAATCACATGCACGCGATTTATATGCAAAATTTATTTTATTTTATTCATTCTTAAATAAATTGTTTTTGTAATCTTATTGAGAATAATCAGTATTTCTCCATTGAACTGAAGTAAGGTAAATGGGAACATGTTACCACTTCACGATGTACATTGAAGTTAACAAATACATTTACTGACACTAACACAAATATATAAAATGGAAGGACCTAGTTTACTTTATGAAACTAGTCATTGCTGTTGTTAGAAACAGGGGCCTACTTCCTCCCTATATGGAGCCAAAGTGAGACTCCTTTCGTTATATTGAATTGAGATGTCCTACTTTAAAATAGGTGTTTGTGTCAACCTTGTATGGCCTATTCTGACACAGTGAAATAGTGCTCCTCCGGTTTGGTTTTGGAGCTATACTTGATCTACCTCAGAAGCTACCAATCCGATACAACTCTTAAAATTTTATTTAAATGACACCATTTAACTTTTAGGCTTTAATTTATCATTATTTAAGATTTATTTTACTCGTTTCTGCTCAATATCTCGCTTTTATTATATCCGATTTTAACCGTCCTGTTTAAATATGAAGGGTTAACTGCCCTTTTTTATTAGATAAATAAATAAAGGACGGTATTCCAGAAAGATTATAATATTGCAAATGGACGACACACTCCATTAAATTAAACATAAGTTTTACAATTTTTTGTTTAATGGGTTTAATTTGAACTAGGGGTTATTAAACTCCGATAAAGAAGGAATGGTTGCCAATAACTTTAAAATAAAAGTCCTACAAAATGTTAATATTACAAAAAAATCTGTATCACTTTCGCCCTAAACGGGAATTCTGAATTGGGCAAACTCATGAGTTTTAGTTAAATTTTTTAAGTAGATTGAATCTCGTGTAATTATTTCTAAATAGGGATCTATATTTCTTGAATGAATGTCTTTCATCAGCTTTTCATAAATTTTTAAACTTAAATTTTACCAGCTTGTAACAGTTATTGTTAGTCTAAAAATTTTAGAATTACGATTTTTTTAAAATTAAAGACAAATTGTTTTTTCTGGAACTATCGTGATTTTCGCATTGATGAAATAGCGGGTTCAATGCACCTTCACCTCATTGTGGAGTATAAATTTACAAAAAAAAAGAAATTATTTGGCAGCTACTACACCTCAGTAAATTTGAGAAAGCGTTACAAAAGCGTTCGTTTTTACTGCATTCACTGAAAATATATCCTAAAATGTATTTCTAGGATATTCGGGAGTGTGGGAAAAATAATCTATTACCAGGTAATCTTGAACGGTTCATTGAAGAGCGGAAGGGACTTTCAGGGTGGCGTTTGATCGATCAAAACATGCGCATGCCGCCCCCCAAATCCTTCATTTAGTTTTCCAAGGGAGACACACTATTGCATGTAATCTCTCCGGTCAAGGATTAAATTAAACGTTAAGGTAATCCGAGTCTTTTTTTCTTCTTCGACGGCTTCTTTTAGACACTTAATTAATCTCCTACGGTCAATTATTTAAAATCTTTTAATTCATTTTTGTTGTATTTTTTACTTGCATATCTATTTTTAATGCCGACTTCATTTTTTATATTTCAATAAAATATTTTTAATATTTTTACTGTCGATCTTGAAGTTAGATATATATCTAAATGATTTCCATGCCATATTGAATTACTCGACGTTTGATTCGTCAAGATATAACTTCTAGCTAATCATTACAAATAAACTTTTTTTTTTATGTTATAAACTAAATGTACTAATAAATTGTTCAAATACCATTTGTTTTTCGATTTGGACTTTAGTCGGACCATTGTTCGAGCCATATGGTACATAAATAATCAATGAAAGTCTGGTTCATTGAAAAGGCAAACCGCAGAATCAATGAAATAAAACTATAACCCCTTATGTTAGCTCAAAAATGAAACGATAGATTTGTATAATAAAAAAAGTATTTGTCGTCAAAAATATAAACAAATACAAAAGTTTATATAAACTGTAAAATTATAGGCATTTTTTAAAATTATAGACAGGATTGCGTACCAACATGTTATAAATATAAATCAAAACATATGTTGAATTTTGAATTTGATATTTTATCGTTTTAATCTTATTAAAGTGTGAGAAGCATATGTCCATTGTTTAAAAGTTTTATTTTTTATCAGAGATAAATACTTCATCTTCAATGGTGGTGAAACTAGTGTCAAATTAGTTACTTCGACAGTGGCAGTTCCAAAGTTTCGATGGTTTTGAAAAAAATAAAAAAATTCTGCTTTGAAACCGTCTATTCTCGCATTTTAATCACAATAGCTATTGTTTACCTTGATATCAAAAATGCTATTTAAAATATTTTTATACTATTGTGAATTGTGTTTAATGAAGAATAAATTCTTTATTTTTATCGATCTTTCATATGTTAGGAAGGTAAATCGTTGTCAGATAGACGATAATTTCTGTTTGTGATCTATCTATTCTCGCTTTAGAGTGTTTAAAAATTATAACCTTTCCACAAAATAAAAAAATAAAAAAAATATTTAACCAAGATAATCTGTTTGTGGCAATTGGTTCACTCACAAATGTCATAATTTCTGTTTCTGGTCCGTATGTTTTCGCTAGCTATACATATTACTATTTAATTTTAGTGTTAGTTTCTTCAATAAAAGTTTTTATTGTGTAGGAAATAGTTCGATTTAAAATTGAAGCATGCAAATCCTGGTATATAAATTGTTCAGGCAATGTTTGCGTCAATCATAAAATATTTATAATATTTTTCTTTTATACACAAAAGAACGAGTGTACACAATATGAATAAGTTAGATCTTTAATAAATCAATATACACTTTCCATTTTAAAAAATAAATAAAATAAAATAAAAAACCGACCACCTGATTTTTCACGAAAAAATGGCCAACTTTGGAAATGCCTATTTTCTCTGCCTTTTAAGTCACAGATCTGCGCTAGGTCTAATTTTTTAGAAAATTGTACGCTGAACAAAATGGCTTTTAGAAATGTTTTCCATGAGCACGTAAAAACTTTTCTTTTTGCCCAACATCACGAATAATTCGAAAACAGTTGAGAAATCCGGCGAAGTGGAAGCTTATTCAAATTTTCTATTGATTGCTATAGGGCGCCGCTCCAGGACGACTTCCTGGCTCCACAGCACAATTTGAAGTTTTCGTAAATAGTGATTTTTTTGAATTTACCGATAAACGACTGAAGCAAAGAAAATATTTAAAAATGACATCTTATTCAGTGTAAATTTTTTTCAAAAACGAGACCTAGCTCAGGTCTTGAACATGTCAACAAGACAACAGGTCTTTAAAAGGCTGAAAAAATATGCATTTCCAAAGTTGGCCATTTTTTCGTGCAAAAACTAGGTGTCGGTTTTTTTTTTTTACTTTTTATTTATTTATTTTTTTTTATGGGCAGTGTAGTTATATCCTACGTTTGGATATTTACTTTCTGCATAAATAATAATGCACAATCCGTATTTCCATTGAAATTTAAGTATCATATACGAAAACGTTAAAAAAAGCTCAATATAAATTGAAAAGACGGATTTTTCCACAAAAATCCCCAACTTATTTTAAAATGTAAGTCAAGAATAAATCTTGAGTTTGTATCATTAATGCATGGAAAATTTGGAAGAACGCCGTGCTATTGTAACAACCACGGGCATTGTGATATAGAACAAGAGTTGCTTAATTAATTTGGTTCAATTACTCTTGCAAAATGAGGAGCGATTATAAATTAGCTTCATAATTAGGGATAAACAAACGCCATAATTGGTGATGAGTTATCATCCCAGTAAAAAAATTCTTAAACACAAGGTTTAATGTGTGGTGATTAGTGACCGTTAATCGATAATTATTCGATGTAGGTTTCAGAAAAACATTTTCTCTATCGTGCCAACGTTTCGATCTTTATTCAGATCATCTTCAGGGCCTAGGATTTACAAACATTGTTTACATTTTACATTTTAGGATGTGGAAAAGTGAATTTATACAATGCAAAATATATTTTTTATATTCAATCAAAGTATTTCTACTCACTTGAAAGCTATTTTGAAGTTATCGGACGAGAGAAATGTGTTTAATTTATGTGATAGACCTTGAATAAATGGCATGGTATATAATGGCACATAGTCTAATTACCCAACAATTTAGCTTTCCTTTTCCTACTTATCCCTTTCTATATAATTCTGAAAGGATAATATGGCCGAACAATTACCAACACATTTTTCCCTTCGTCGGCTCTTTTCACCTCAAAGAAGCCGACGCCTTATACAAAAATGTGTTTTCTATACCGACTTCCTTCCCCACCCCTAAAAATCCAACGTTTATAAACATAAAACAGCAAAATTTCACTGGCACTCTCAACACGACACGAAAGAATGGCACAATTACACAGAAGACAAACATTTTGAGTGCGTAGAAATACTTTGATTGAATATTAAAAAAAATATATATATATTTTGCATTGTATAAATTCACTTTTCCACATCCTAAATGTATTTGTTAAATGTAAACAATGTTTGTAAATCCCAGGCCCTGAAGATGATCTCAATAAAGATCGAAACGTTGGCACGATAAAGAAAATGTTTTTCTGAAACCTACATCACACCAGACACGATTTCTGAATAAAATAGTTATTATTAAAATAATAAAAACATAGTTATTAGGAGTTAATATGCAAGAGAGAAGTGAGACAGTGGGATAGATAAGTAGCGAGATCGAATGAATGAATATTGTTTTATTTTAAAAAAGGAGGAGAATCTTGAAATTTCTTTTAAGCTGTTTGATGATTTGGGTTAGTTTTAGGACCGGCAAACTGCCATCTCATTCTATGCTGTTTGTTTTCCTTTTCTTCTCGCAACTTAGTAATTCACTAGTATGTTAAGGTAACCGACTCTCTTTTTTCTCTGTCCTACTGCTAGCCTCTCTCTACCTCAGGGCCTTGTCAGTCATAATCAAGAATATATTTTTAATTTATTTTTTAAATAAACACTAGCGTTTTTATCTATTCATTATTACATAAAGTGTTAAACGGAATTCCGTAGTCATCATGAATTAACACGGCAAGAAATCGAAGGTCGGATTTTTAAATTTAACACATCGTGCACAATTGGAAAAACTCGGTCCGCACGGAGTGGTCGGGTGTCAACTGATGTGACAACAGAACAAAAGTACGCTGTCAATTGAGTTGTCATCTCCCGGCCAAAATTTTGACAAACGTCAAGCTTCCGACCGTCATCCTTAAAAAAGGATATTTTCCTTCAAATACGTGCGAAAAATAAATAAATAAAAGACAAAAGGAAAGGAAAATGGCGTTGATACGATTGTGTACATTTTATTCCAACTCCTGTCAATTATACATGAACATACTTTTATGAACTGTACTTTTTTTACCAGAAGTGAAAGTTATTAAACTTTTATAAAAGATTGAAGAAATTATAAAAGAAATAACGTGAAATTTTGTTATTTAAACAATACCGATCACTTCTAATTGAGCAACAATGGGAAAAAACATACAATTTCAAATATGCTCTATTTAATATGCGTATTTTTTAATTTAATATATGATAAAAATGCAGTATCAACTTGGGAAAATATAATAATTTATGTTGTATTTGTTTGGTAACAACGATCTTAGTTTATACCAAGAAGAAGCCTAAGTGATAATATAAATTCTGTAAATTGTGAAACATTTATCTATTGGGCGATGAATCTGTAACTTGACCATTACAAAAAGAACTGAAGATAGTGCCAAAATGTGTGCGACAGACACATGCAAGAATAGGTAGATCACCATGATTAGAGACATTTGTTCAACAGTCTCAGTTCCGCTCAGAAATAACTATTTATGTAGAATTGATAGTTGCGATACAATAAAAATAAAAATGATGTATTAATTTTTTGAAAACTATGGAATCTATTTAGAAATTTTTGCAGCAAAATGCCGGCGACACGACATAAGATTCTTGGCCATGTATTTACTGGCTTTTTTACCAAGATGAACCGGACGAAACAGATGAACAGCGGAGAGCAGGCTTTAGATACACCATTGAAACGATGTCTAAACACATTTGACATAACACTTTTAGGTCTGTATTGTTCCCATTTAATCAAAAGTTCTGGAAATATTTTTTGAAACTTTGTCTTCATTTAGGGGTCGGTCATATGGTCGGTGCTGGAATTTATGTCTTGACGGGCACTGTTGCGAGGGATTTAGCAGGACCTGGAATCGTACTGTCGTTCATAATGGCTGGCATGACTTCCATGCTTGCTGCACTCTGCTATGCAGAGTTTGGAACGAGAGTACCTAAAGCCGGCTCTGCCTACGTTTACACTTACGTGAGCATTGGTGAATTCTGGGCTTTTGTCATCGGATGGAATATTATACTCGAACACATGATAGGTATAAATTTGGATAAATATTTTGAAACATGTTTATGTATGTTTTTGCTTTGATGCAGGAGCGGCATCAGTTGCTAGAGCTTGGAGTGGATATGTGGACTCTCTTCTAGGAGGAGCAATCAGCAATGCCACTATTGCCCTCGTCGGAGAAATGCATGAACAGCTATTTGGGAGATATCCTGATTTCTTGGCATTTGCTGTTTGTGTTTCTTATGCTTGTGTGTTAGGTAAATAATTTGTCACTTCCAATGTTTCAATCTTTTAACTATTTTTTTTTACTATGATAACAGGCACTGGTGTAAAGGGGTCAGCAATGGTAAATAGTATATTAACAGTTGTCAATTTGGGAGTGATGTCCCTGGTCATTGTTGTTGGTTTTTATTTCGCTGATATTGACAATTGGACTCATAAAGGGCATGGATTTTTACCGTATGGAGTAGGTGGAGTCATTGCAGGTGCAGCAACTTGCTTCTATGCTTTTGTTGGATTTGACAGTATTGCAACATCAGGAGAAGAAGCAAGAGATCCTTCTTACTCAATACCAATAGCAACGATGCTATCAATGTCTCTGGTTTGTCTTGGTGAGCTATATTTAAGTTTAAAAGTTGTCAGATTATTTCATAGAATCAATCTTATTTATTATCCAGTTTTCATTATCTTTCATATTAGATAGGCCTAAATTTTAAATATTTTCAAAGGTTACATGTTGGTGAGCAGTGCACTAACTTTAATGGTTCCTTACTGGGCTATAAGTCCGACTGCAGCCCTGCCTGAAGCCTTCGCAACTGTTGGTCTACCTTGGGCAAAGTATGTTGTTTCAATTGGTGCACTTTGTGGAATGACAACGACTCTCTTGGGCTCTCTTTTCTCATTGCCAAGATGCATGTATTCTATGGCAGCTGATGGCTTGATATTTTCATTTTTAGGCAAAGTAAACAAAACTACCCAAGTAAGTATAAATATTTTTGCTTGTATGTCATTTCTACATATGTTGATTATTGTTACGTTTCAGGTGCCTGTAATAAATTTGATTGTCTCAGGATTAAGTAGTGCAATAATAGCACTTTTGTTCGATTTAGAAAAGCTAGTCGAATTTATGTCAATTGGAACCCTTTTGGCTTACACAATTGTCAGCGCTTCAGTAATAATTCTTAGATACCGTCCTGATGTTTTGCCTATTGTAAGGGATGATTCATCACTTTCAGAGCCAACAACTCCAATGTCAGGTTCTGGGGTAAGAAAATTTTTTTATTTTATTTTATATTTTGAACTGAGTGCATATTATTGAATTGATCTAGGCAATGGAATGGCGACTTGGGCCAGGAGGAAGATTGAAACCGACTTGGAGCTGGTTAGAGCCGATTGTAGGCAAATGCATGCCTGGAGCTGCGGTTTCTGCCTCAGTTTTTATCTTTACTTGCTTCACGGCAGTTTTGTGTTTCCATCTGCACTGGACCGCTGAAGATCTAGGTCAAGGCACTTGGTGGACTCTCCTTGTTACTGCTTTTCTCATTGCCACTTTACTTGGATGTAAGGACATTAATTCTTTATATATATTATAACAATATTATTATATATAATTGTATTAATTTATATTACATTGTAGGTTTAGCTGTTATTGAGGCACATGAACAGAACACCACCAATTTAAGGTTCAAAGTACCTTTAGTACCTTTTGTGCCAGCTTTAAGCATACTTTGCAATATAGAACTCATGGCTCATTTAAATGTACTCACATGGATTCGATTCATGACTTGGATGGCATTAGGTGCGTTGAAATCAAGTATTTGAAAACGTTCTGCAACTGAAAATTTTTATTCATAGGTCTTCTGGTTTATTTTCTCTACGGCATTCACCATAGCAAGGAAAATGACGCTTCCAACTCATACTCTGTACTTTTAACATCTTCTGAGGCTGGAAAAATTCACTGGGGAGCTATTTCATCAATAAGGCGAAAACATAGTACTGACACTCTCCCCATTGTAGAACAAGAAGAACTTCCTGAATAAATCACCATTTGCAGTCAGTGAGGAATGTTAAACAGGCAAAATTAAATTAAAGACAAATTTAGTTTTGGTTGGTTCTTAGTTGTCAATTTTATAAACAAAAAGAAATATATGTGTAGTATGGAATGATAAAAAATTTATTGTTATATGGAGAAAGATTGAACAAAACAATGTAAAGAAAATGTATTAATTGTATATAATTATTCTTTTATTTATTCTTATTTTTATTGATTTTTTTTTTTCATATTAGAGCCTTGTCAATATCAATAGCAACAGTATATAGGAAAGTTGTTATCAAGTGGCCACTAAAATTTAACAAAAATTTCAAGACCCAATATACAAATTTTCTTTAAAAGAATTTAATAATCATTGTGAGTATATTTGTAGCTTAAGATCATTCATAAGAACTTTAATTTTGGAAGCTCAAAAATGAAAAAGAGCTAAGACTGTTGATAATGCTTAATTTTGAGTAAAACTACAGTATTTTCCCACCAGACAATATTGCTGGATCAAATTTTTAATACATATAAAATATTAGACGTATATATTTATTTATAGTTTCAAAAATATTTTTATAATGCAACAATGAAGGAAAAATTTAAACCAAAACAAAAACTACCTTTTTATTTGTATTTAAAAATAAATTTTTAAAATTCTGTGTAAAAAGTCCTCAATGTGATATTTTCTCCTTTATGCAATCGATTTTGAAACTTTATTAATACTATTAAAAAGTTAAAAACCTAGAACCATCATATTAGATGTTTATTAAAATATAGGGTGCTTATTTCCCACATTAATAAATATAAATATATTTGTACAATTATATTTTTTATAATGTGGTAAAACTTGATACAAGCCAGATACTAAATAAAAAAAGCACACTTAGATGACAAGGATTTTTGAATTTAATTTACGTATGTTTTTAGTGAAATAATTATTACAATTTTATATATTCATTTAATTTATGTAACTACCATCAAGTAGACATCGAACAATCAAAATTTTTAGTGTATATTGCTGTAAGAACACTTCTATAAGAATGGTTTGTTTAAATTAGTTCTACTTAAAAGAAACAGATTTTGAAAGAGTATTCATATTTATTTTGCGGTATTCTAAATTTTTCTTTTCATTGAAGTGGTCTTTTAATAGATTTTTTTTTTAACAATTTCACTTAATAAATGAAATGATTGTAACTTATGCCTACCTACAGACTTGCTATTTACAAAAATTGAATTATTATTCACAATTAAATTGTTTTTACTACAATGTAGAAAGTATTACCTGGTTATTTATAAAAACTAAATTAAAATGTAATTATATTTTTATTCGATGTGATAGTTTTATTTTAATGGCTGTGCTTTAGTTTAGGTACAATTTATTCATGAATTGTCGTTAATTTTCTTCGTAGATTAAAAATTGTTTTGCTGCTTTTTGTAAAATAACATAGTTATGAGAATATGCGTAGTATTTTAAAAATAGGCTGTAATTATTTTCTCAAAGGTTAAAATGTTTATTAACAACAGGGTAATTTCATTTCTAATATGTCAAAAGCAGTTTTATTAGATAATTATGGTTATAAGAGATGGATTGTGTACTGTAGGTAAATTAGAATAGGTCAATAAATTGTGTGAAACCTTATTACACAGGTATGTGAAAATTTCATCACAAACTTTATTCTCAGGATGACCACTACATACAAAATTTAGGTTTAGTAATCACTATATAATGTAAATGTAATTAAATTATTAAACAAATTGTTATTTGTGTAAATGTTGTGCTTTTGTAAGTTTATCTAATGTTAAAACATTTAAAATAAAATCATGATTATGAAAATTAACCAGTTTTTAATTTATCCTTTAGGCAAACATGTTTCAATCCAAAATTAACTTTTGGCCACAATTTTAACTTTATATTCTATGTTGGAAGTGGCTAGTAATGTCAAACAGAAAATTCATTTTGGAATTGAGACAATGGATTTCTCACTTGTCTTCAAATCCTTGCCGGCTCTTGTTTGTTCTATAACAATTAACGATTAATTGCTATATTGTTGAGGTTTACTTTTTATATTGTATCATTATTACACAAATCTAATCATTAATGAATAGATACCATTCTTAATAAGATTTTTTTCTTAAATAACAATTAAATGAGGCGAGTATATCACGTTTTTTTTGTGAATAGCACTGACATAGATTTTTTTTCTTTACTTTCACCTCATTTTATGTCTTTCTAACATTCATATTTGATTTAATTGTTAACGTGTCATGTTAATACTATCATATGATTAGATTAGTTATTTAATATAAAATGATCAATGCATTTTTAATTTTATTTAATGATTGCTATAACTAATATAAAATCAATTTGTAACAACTACATGTTTTTGAATAAAAATTGATTATATTACAGAATAAGGCACTGAAAAATGGCAACCGTGATATATACATGTACAGGAAAATTTTTATACAAACTAATTCTTTGTGACTAAGGCAATGTCTGCCTTTGAATTGCACATTGGATGAAAATGGTATCGTGATTTACAAAAATTATCACAGATTTCAGTTAATGAAACAGGTAAATAATCTCAGATTACGAACTCAGAACGGGGACTTTTTTCTTATTTTTTTTAAACAGTTTCTTTGTCTTTTTAAATAACTTTGAGGCAGGGCTTTGAGGTTCGCTGTCTTGTTGAGCTTCAGTTAACTTCAACCTTTCCAGTTCTGCACTGTTGTTACTTGAGTTATCACAAGCTTCGTCAACAGTGTATAGTTCTTCTACTTTTAATTCTTTGCACTGTTTCTCTTTGTTTACAGATTTTGTGCAGTCCCATTCTTTAACAGGTAAAGAATTGCTCTTCCATTCAATTTCTTTGCAGTTTGAAGGCGCTTCAATTTGTACTTCTCTGTAAGAAAACGAAAAAAAAAAAAAAAAAAAAGTATTGTATATATCCTATGTTTATACTGTTGAAAATTGATTACCTTATTTTTTCAACAGGTGCTTTAATCGATTGGTGCAATTTATCCCAGAAATTGCCAAAATTGTTCGCCCTGTCATAATTCAATATGAAATAATGTTGAAGTTGTATGGGAAAGTCAAGTTTGGAATTTTGATAAGTTATAGGGATTATTTTCCTCGATTCCTGTCCTAAAAATATAAGACTATTTGTAAATGGGAAAAATACATCATGATTGCTTCTCATACTCACTTATAGCAAGAGCTTGGGCAAAAGCGACAAAAAATTTATTGACTGAACTTTTACAGAAACTGTGTGACAGAACTGTAATGACCTTGTTGCATCTTTGCGATATCAATCTCATTATGGCTTCATGTTCAATTGATACGCCTCCGAGTAAATCCCTATCTTTCAAGCAAAGCTAAAAATCGTTATCTTTTTAAAATTAATAATCTCAAGTTGAAATAATCCAAATTATTAGTTTACTTTTGCGTTATATTCTCCTTCTAATTTATGAACAATCTCCATTGCAAACTCCTTATCTTCATCGGCAAATAAAAGAAATGCATCATAAATTTGAGGGCCCAATCCTTTTTCCTTTCTTTGAACGTCATCTACAATCAAACAAATATAAAAAAAATAAGTTTTAAATGAAAATTATAAAAAATTGTCCTTCCTATATCACTTTTCAATAATGATTTTTGATTTTAAAACGTTTAAATCTGATTTTTTACAGTTGAAGTGAAAAATAAATTTGAGAGGAAGATATAAAACAATAATTTGGCTTCTTGCCATCCTGGCCTGCCTATCCTCTACCGGTCATGCGGTGTGTTGATACACACCTGAAAGTCCAAAATAATTAGAATAGGCAAACTAGGATGATTGGAAATGATCAACTATTGATTAATCATCTTGCAGACGTCAACAAAAAAATCTCAAAATATTTATAATCGAAATAGTACAAACCATCAGTAAGAGCAAAGTCTGGTTCTATTTTTTGCAGGCAACCATCATTATTATTTGATGTGTTAAGATAATCTTTTACGTCTGTTTCTAAACAGGAATAGAACAAATATTAATACAATTTTAGTCGGCATACAAATTTTAAACCAAGTACCAAGATATTCCGTTATATCATCTAGGACATCCCATCTGTCTATTTCCTTCAGTGCTTCTCGTAAATCGTTGACATTTGATTTGGTCCTTTCCCACTGGCAGATGATGCTTGCTGTCGGATCGTTGTCACAAGGAGGCAAAGACACTTTGGCAATATCCGCCAACCCTCTCCAATCCCTGAAAAACACCATGAGATATATAATACGGCTTAATTGGTTTACATGCGACAAATTGTCAAAAATTTCGCTGAGTGGTCTTTCAAGTTTTGCGAGGAATTCCTAAGAACAAATGTTTAAAATTTTAAGCGTGCTGATTCAAATGTACCTGGGATAGCCAGATGGAGAAGGAATCACTTTGGTGCAGTTCAATCCAAGAGAAAGGACTTTCCTTGTCCTGGCCCTGAGAGCAACAAGTGGAATTTGTAAGAAATCAATTCCGCCAGCTTCAGACATCATAGCTCAGCCGGAAAAGTCAATACCAAAAGCTGCCTACAAAGGCACATTAAACATCAAAAGATGAGAAGTTTGGTTGTTGGAAAATCGTTTCAAGACAAGATCTGGGATGTTGTAGTGCTATGAATTTATGACTGTTATGGTTATCCACCTGTTGTGTATTTCTGAATTGGGTAAATCCAACTGAAGAATGCGCTTGCTACGGTGCTGATTAGGAAATTCCGAGTTGGAATGGTGTCTAATAGATAGAGCTTACACCAACTTTCTAAACCTTAAATTATTAACTTTAAATTTCAATTATTAACTTTAAATATAATTATTATTATTATTAATTATTATAATTATTTAAATTATTTGGATAAACCGTCTCGAAATATAATTATTTTAAATATTTTTCAATTCTATTCTTTCTAATTTTTTTTTCAAATAATAAAAATGCTTTCAATTATTTTTTCTTCTTTAATAAGTGATTTTATTTTACCAATTTTCAGGTTGCCTTGCATGAAGAAATATGTATGATTCAGTATAATTTCTGGCCATTACAAAAAAATACATCTAAGTAGTATTTTTTTCTTTTTTTCCCGGATTCAGGAGAAAATACTGAGCCAAATATGTATTTTATAAACTCTCAATAGGGAATAATTAAAACAATTCATAAATGCTTTTAATGCTTTGCCCTGGCATTCGAATTATTTTTAATGTATTTTTGTTTCATTATAGGGTTGTTACAAAATTAAATATTAAAAATAGGTAAATCAGTATTGCTCATGGTTGAAGGGTACAAAGACATGACTTATTATTCAAAATGCATAAACATCATAGTAGTGGGCTCCCTTATACTGAAAGGCTGCCTTTGGTGGGTTTGGGTACCTTGGAAGAAGAATTTTGAAGGCCAAAATCGATTGTCCAGTGATCTTGTCAGCCATTGGTTTTTCGGTCCTACAGCGCCAAGTTATTCTATGTTTCCTCTCATAGGACAAATTATGGTATGGAATCTTGTCTCTCTCGTAAGGTGCAGTATTTCAATCAATATGGTGAGACCATAGGGCATAGACCTCTTTTCTGGTTCTATGCCAGCTTTTAAAAATAAGATTTATTAGCTTTAAGGGCATGATTTTTGGAGGCTTGATATGTTTTTGTATTAATTTATATTGTTAACCATAGTTTTATTATAATATGTATCTGTTTCGTATAATCTATTTCTTATTCGTATATAAAATAATGTAATGTTGTCTATTTAGTTTTGGAACATTTACCTGTTTGAGCTGCTATTTTGATAAATAAATAGAGAAAGGGATAGGGATAATTGAGGTGGCCACAAGGCTTTCCACACCTCAACCTGAGTAGATCTATTGCGCTCCTCTATTTTTTTATAACCGACTGGCCAGCTTCAGGTAGTTCAGTCAATCTCCGTAGTCTTGACAGCAGCTCCTTAGCGTAGGATCTTTCTTGCAGCTTTTCTTCTTCTAGTTGCAAGAATATGTTTTGCTCTTCTCCTTGGCAGTCTATCTATACAATATTTCTTCTGTCAGTAATCTTATATGGTGCATATGCCATCTTAGGCGGTGGTGGCCTGTAGTCTAACCAGAATCCTGGTTAGCTTCTAGTACATAATTCCTTAAGTGTTGCAAATGGCCCTTATTTTAAACCCCTTCACGAGCCACCCCTAACCATCCCTTACGCCTGCAGTGTTGCTCCACTGAGATTATAAATAAATAAATAAAACAGGAATGAGAGATCAAGATATTTTTATGCATGCAAGAAGTATAATGTCCATCTTAACAATTTTATTACATTTAATATATTTCAGAACTTGATATATTTCTACATATCCTTTCCTGTAAAATAAATTATTTATTTTTTTAACAGATAAAAAATAATTATTATTTAGTTATTTTTATCAATCAATTAGAAGTTGTATGGAATGAATTGGAAATTTTTGTTAGAAGTTAGAAATTGGGGTTAAAAAATTTTCATGTAATAATTGTACCAACTTTAGAAGAATTTTGCATCTTCCTTCTGGGTAAGTTTTCTTTTAAACCGTAATTTTTAAAAAGGTTTAATTTTTTTAAAGGGTTGTTTGAACATTTTAAAGTTAAGGCATTTTATACTTTTGTAGTGTTTTTTAAATTTTATTTACATTTTTTTAAAAATTATCGCCATCTTAGTGAATAGAATAATATTAAACTATATTATTGTTTTATTTAAAAAAAATCGCAGTTGGTGACAGAAAATATTTATAATCACAAATGTATTAATTAAGCTTCTAGTGTACAAATATTTTCAGTGTATTAAAAAACAACTATTGTACCTATTATATCGACTAATTTATTAATTATTGAGTCATTAATAAATGAACAACAAATAATTTAGACAAAAAACTGTAAAACTTTGTTGGAAAATTGCACATAATTAGCGGTAATATACACAAATCAAACGCTTTCATGATATTTATGCATGTTCAATATTAACCGTTGGCACATGCAAGCTTCAAATTTAAGCTATGTAAGTATCTATTTCTGTTTTTGAGGAAAAAATAGTAAAAATTTTTCCGAGCGATGTCATAGGCGTACAGACAATAGGCAAACAGGCCGATACTGCGCTAATGGCCCCAAATAGTCTTTTAAACAGCCTGGAAATAGTTCAGATCAAAACAGGAAAATGTCCACATACGACGAGGCATTTTCAGACTTATTTTTGTAATCGGCCATTCATTATTTGTTCCTCGTGTCTTCGAGTTGATGACATAAACGTCAGAACGATTTTCGGTGCAATTAAAAGGAACATACCGAGAAAATTTGGCAGGAGTTCAACTTCAGTAATATCTGGCAAAAATATTGTTGCAAATAAAACAAATATTAAATCTGAGAAAGTGTACAGTTTACGAGTTTAGATATGTTAGTTATAAATTATAATATACAGTGTAAAAAAGATCCCCATACTTACGAATTCTAACGCTCATTCTACCAGAAAATTCTTCTAGTTTCAATATTTATAATTGTATTACAACGAAATATTTTTTAGAATTATTTATTTTTAATGCAATGATTTAAGAAAATTTCCTTTTAGATTTGAAACAATGAAAATATTACCCTTAGATGTTAAAATTGTGTGTATTTTCTGTTTATTGTTGTTAATTGATTTATGATAGCTTTAAAACGTGGTCTTCCTTTCATCATTTTATATATGGTAAATCGGCTTTTATATTTTCAAAGGATAAAGAACAAAAGTAACTAAAATGTTATACACGTTTACCTTACAAAATCAGTTTTAGTCTGATAGATAAAAGTCTGTTAAGATTTCTATGAATTTCAGACATTTCCTTTGGATTTGGTTGTGAAGTTAGGACTAATTTCCATTTTCATTTGTGACTGTCACCTTGCCGAAATTTTCAAACCAAATGAAAACATCAGTCACAGTTTACTTGAAGTAAAAAATACTCCGTAAGACGAAAATATAAAGCTAGTTACACCTTAATAAATAGAACAAGAATTTAAAAAGTTACCTGCTCAAAAATGTCCAGGATAGGACCTTATCACCGGTGAAATATGTATAAAAAATGTCGAAAAAAGGGTTAGTTAAACTAACATTTAATTAAATTCACTAATTTCGTGGTCCGCTTGACCATCTAATACGTTACAATTAATTTAGGTTTTTAGTTGAGATGAAAAAAAGCTAATGGCACGAGCGGGATTCGAACCCACGATCTTCGGCTAGATACGCCGCTGCTCTACCACTTGACCTATCGTGACCTCGATCCACTCGGACATCAACTTCCTATCTCAACCCTACCTTATGAGTTTTCCCTCCTTTTTGCCATTTTTCAATACTTTTTTCAGTCCGAGTGGATCGAGGTCACGATAGCTCAAGTGGTAGAGCAGCGGCGTATCTAGCCGAAGATCGTGGGTTGGAATCCCGCTCGTGCCATTAGCTTTTTTTTCATCTCAACTAAAAACCTTAATTAATTGTAACCTAACATTTAATGCTGCAATCATACTGAAATATGTCCACCGTACCTGAAAATTCGCACAAAGTAATTATGATGCAAAAACTGGGGAAACGGCGAACCGAGGTCAAATCATATATAGACACCATCGCCTCTACCGACAGTCGCTAAGTTTTTCGAAAAGTTATTACTAAAAAGAATAAAACCCAGTGTAGAAAACAAGAAAATCATCTCTGACCACCAATTTGGATTTAGTATAATTCAACGATTGACCAAATTCACTGAATAACGGACGTAATACGTTGTCCTGCTATCTTCCTTAATGTCTCACAAGCTTTTCACAAGGTCTGGGGTATGAAGGACTCAGTAAGTAGTAAACTGAAGGGATGTTACTAAACCAGCATGTAGATATTATCAGTTCTTACCTGACTGACCGACGTTTTAGAGTCAAACAAGAAAATCAATATTCAGAACAAAAAACCATAAATGCAGGAGTATCACAGGTTGTATTTCTACTACATTACTTGTTATACACCAGTATTGTGAAAGAAAGAAAGAAAGAACGAAAGAAAGAAAGAATGAAAGAATAGATTCACATTGAGTGAATTTACTTACAATCATCAATGCCAGCCCTCTGTTAGGAGTCCCTTGAGATGAGGGCTGGAGTTGCCATGTACATATTAAGTTGACTCAATAATTAACATTGCTATAAATAAGTAACTATAAGTATCTAAGTATCAAGAAGAATCTTGTTAAATTTGCTTTATAATTATTTATCACAATGAAACCTATATCATCATAAGATTAACATTACAAAATCAATATCTTTAAATATCTATCTACCAAAAAATAAATAACGGTTACTGTCAGTAATGCACAGTTCTGCTAATTACAACAACCAGTTAAACTAATATAAAGATTAATTTCATTTAATCTACATCAAACATGCTGAAAATCATCTTACGTAAATTGACATTATCAACCGTACATATCAATTTTAACTTTTAACAATTTAAAAAATCAGCAATAGGAATAAATATAATAAATTAAATAGAATAAATTACAAACTTACGTGCCAAAAAATAAGTAACCAAATAGGCTTAATCGATTGATGTAACTCAAATATACAATTTTTACCATTCATTACTTATCTTCATAAGCTTAAGACAATTTTTTGAGTATTTTTTTTTTAATTAAACAAACTTCGACAT